AATTACGGGGCGTGTGTCATCAAATACCAATAACGGAAGTTCATTTATATCACGTGTTTATTCCAATGTAATACCTACCTTGACACCCAGTATTAAGGGTGACGTTACAAACATGATTGAAAACTGCGGTATCACTGTGTCGGGTGACACGACTGTCATAATATTGCGCATCCGGTTGTTGATTGGTAGAGCAGAAGGCTAGAGAGAGTACCGCCCATCTGCGTGGCCCGCCCAAGTGGCACCAAGTTGCTAGGAAACTAAACAAGGGAAAATTGTTTAAGCAAATATTATGGTTCATTTCAGATACTATTTTGAGAACAGATTTAGGGCCAGGATTACCAATTATCGAAAGCAATACACCTATATCGAAAGTAACACATTTTAATTGTAGACAATCGAGAGGCGAAGGCAAACATTGAGTTATTGTATTGTGGCTTAGCTGTAGTGAATATCACTAACCTGAATCCCATATGACCTTCGCATGCATACGCAAACTGGGAGTAAAGTCTATAGGACTACGGTGAGGCCGGCTATGTTGTACGCAAAAGAATGTTGTCCAATAAAGAATATACTTGTACAAAAGTTTCATACCACTGAAATGAAAGTGCTGTGATGGTCTTGAGAAGTCGTCGAACTAAATAGGGTGCGAAATTAATAGATCCGCGGTGGTTCTAACTCCAATAACGAACAAACTTACTAAAAACCATCTCAGATAGCATGGCCATATAATAATAATAATATCTTTGGGTGATTCACCCAACGCATCTAGTCTCAAGATATGTAGACTTGTATTATAGGTATTAGACAACTGATATTACTTATATCTTAGATGTATATTTTTTTGTAGATACACAAATAATTAAAAACACCCAGATCGACAAACAATCATACTCATGAATCAGTAAGGTGGTCCTTGCGAGGAATCGAACTCGCAAACATCGGGAGTAAGGTATGCTAAACCATTAGACCACGTGTGATGGGAAGTGGTGAGAAATATATGCTCAAAAAGCTATAGGCCTGCCCGAAAATAAAAGAGTAGAGCACGTCCTCCAGTTTCTTGAAGAACGTGCTCTACTCTTGACCATGAATAATCTTATCGCAATGGAAATATTGCCCGACTTAGACCCAGGACAGATTGTCATGGCACCGCAAAATTTGGAGAGCCCATCCCACATAAAGTAGGACAATGCAAAGAAGATACATTGAAAGGTATTTATCAAACAAACAGTATCACAATATCACATATTTATTATTAGTATGAATGGATGTAATTACCTACTCGTTATGTATGCTAAACTAATAAGCTCAAGGCTAATAAAAATCTGTTACCTAGAAAAATACTTTGACTGACCCAGAATCCGTTCGCCATTTACGAGTGTTTGTGTCGAGTTTAAAAAACAACTTAGGTATGTGATATCAAATCTAGTTATTTATGCCTGTAACCTGTAGGCTAACTGTATAGGTAAGTGAAATTATTGAAACCTAACTGGGTTAGGCACTAAAACCTAGCACGAGCGTGCTTAAAGTTAGTTTGAATAAAGATAATTTTTTTTAATAAATATCAAAATATGTTTATTCTTTTAGGTCTATTACAGACTTATGATATGTCAAATATACCGTCAGTTCGGAGTGCTATTGCAATTTGTTCTAATATGAAATTATTATTCAGATAGAGTGATTGTAACTAAATTGTAACCGTCATCTATATGCAGGAACAGTGGGCTAATTATGTAACTTCGTTCGCAACGATTTTCGTATGTAACGTAGTGAAAATGACGTCATCTGTCAATAATGCGATCATATTGACGCCATTTGACGCTGTCAACTAGCATTGCAACGTAAACGCAACTTTACATATCGATAAAAATTATTTCTATCGAATGTCGATTTAGTAACCTCGTTGCAACGTCACGTAATCGCTATTTTGCCGAAATGACAGCGTGGAATTGAAACGGTTTATACATTATGAGAAACAATTTAGAAGGTGTTTCTTTTGGTTACAATCTTTAAAATATCAGCATTAGCAGCATTATTTATCTTGTTTTGGTAATTTTCAGTATTACATATCTTTTTATTATATTAAATATTACGTAGAAAGTCGTGAAAAGGTTTTAAATTTATTAAAATGGGAAAATTGTCACGACTCACAACACGACATCAGTGTTGCCAATTCGATATTTTATTTTCGTCCCAAATCACATAGAATGTTGTATTAACTAGAGTAAATGTTTAATATAAAATTAGGGTTGATTATGATATTAATATAATTAAAAAACTATTTCAATGAATACGGTACTCTGTGAACGGAATACAACGTTTATGATGCTCTGTGATTTGTTTAAAGTAAATAAATTTATTTGTTTAAAGTTTTTACAATTATGTACAAATTTAAAAAGATGTGCCCATATCATTTTAAATTTATATGGATACCTACGTACTTACCTAGGTATCTATAGCAGAAAAGAAAATTTAATTTGTAGGTTAGATTAATATTATTAATGATTATAGTTTGTATAAAATATGCTTTTATATTCAAAATTATTAACCTTATTTTTTCATTAGAATAGAATAGACTTTCTTTATTTTATTTTATTAAATGTCTATTAATAAAATTAAAATAAAAGAACAAGTGAACGCTGCAGTATATTTTGTAATTTTTGAACGCACAACAACCCAATAAATTAAAATGTATCCCTCTAAAGGTATAGGCTATCTAATGTACTGACTTTTTAAATTGGTCGGATTAACAATATTCCGCTGCAACTTCATAGTAGTGTTTTATCGATAGAAATGATTTATGTTGCGGTCATTCGACCTTACTTGATCGCATTTTTTAAATTGAAATGATTTCATATTGCATCACAACTTCAACAGAAACAATTTCATATCGTGTTACATAATTAGCCCACAGGTCTACGGAAATACCAAGTTATCACGTGACATTCGTAATATCTCATCTTAAGTGTTACCGTTCCTGAGGATAAAGATGCGATATTTTATACTGTAATATCACTGCCTTATGTCACTCGTCAACCGAAACTCATCAACCAAATCTTGTCACTGCAATAGGTTAGACTTCTGTCAGAATTTTGTTATTGAACACAACGGTAGGCCTACTAAGCCTACAAAATTATGTTGCCAGTATATAAAGACATAGTACGTGTAGTAGGTACAGAATAAAATTATAATAACTGTGGACAATTCACACAACGCCATCTAGCCCCAAGGTAAGCAGAGCTTGTGTTATGGGTACTTGACTATTGATAGAAATACTTAAATATATTTTTGAAAATTTATACAGAATATACATATAAAAATATAGATAAATAGAAACAATCATGTTCATAAATACAAATGTATGCCACTAGGCACGTCATCTTTATACTTAGTGATCAATTTTGCTGTATCTTTCTTTATGGAATAATAATAATAACTACCCACTTGTAGCACTAATTCAAACTATACCGTTTATAATATTAATGGTATTGCATTCTTAATAGTGGTTTCATATGAATTTTAATCAACTACTTTCTCTCTTGAAACAGTGATATAGCTAATGCAATAAAATCTTTGAATAAAATAAAACACAAAAGAACATAAAACAAGATGACATTTTCTACTTTGTCACCTATTACATCCACTCGCAATAATAAAAATAAGGACACACGACAATTCGTGACAAAGTGGCGTGCGGACGGCTATAAGAACGATCTATCTGTTATCTGAAACTTGTACAGTGGGAATAGAGTTGAAATTGAATTAGCACCTAGTTATTACGTTAGCTCATGTGTTTAGCTGGTTCGTAGAAACAATGGCTAGACGACTTGTAATGGCGTTTATAATATTCGCCCTACTTAATGACAAGGATTTATAGGTAAAAGGGACTGTTTAATTAGGAACAATCGTCTAGACACAGAAAATGGTACTTAACTAAATGCGAAGGGAAGGACATTCTATGTAAGGACTTAAGCGGCCTCATTACTAACAATGTATTATGTCAGGTCGACCAGTTTAATTAAATAATAATAATAAAAATAACATAAGAAATTTTACACAGCACCATATAGTTCCAATATAAGCAGATTATAAGATAATACAGTTATCGGTATTAAAGAATTGGTACAGAGAAAACATCTACATCAATACAAATGATCATACATAGTATGCGAGAAATCGAATCCTCAACCATTGGAAGCTTAGCGCTGTACCAAACCGCTAGACCAACTGGTACATTCGCCACTACCTTCTTATTTATCTTTCACTGGTGCCTTGCTAGCGTATAGCTAGTAATATTGCAGGCACCATTCCACATGCATCCATTAAAAACAGTAAACGTAAACAAAATAGACGAGGGGAATTGTTAGGGACTCCATTGTTTGGAGTGCACTTTACCAGATCAATCTTCACGCGGCGACCTCTAGAAACTGTCATAGTCAATTTTATAATAAATTTGCCGTGATAGGCTAATTGGCCTATCTTTATTCTCTCATTAGCCACCAGTCCCGGCATATTACTAATAAGTACTGTTAAGTCACGAAATAGCATAATTATCTATTTATCTATTTAAAAAAAAGACATGTAAGATGTTTTAATGTAGCTAGAATAGTTATATATCTACACTGAAGAAATATAGGTTCAGTACAGTTACACAGTTATAGTTCAGGTACAGTAGTGTTACTGTAAATGAATAAATAAGTTTTGTATTAATATTATAAACATGAAAGGATTTTCAGTATGTATAAATGAATAAACTCAAATAATATTTATGCCATTTAAAAAATTATTTTGCCTATAGATAATATAATTAGCGAGAATCATAGCCTATTACAAATTAGACTAGTATCTTATAAGAAACGGTTCTAAAGATTAGAATGAAAAGTATACTTTATATAGCTATTTCGTTTTGATATTAAAGTTCATCCAACTTGATTACAAATTTCAATTTTGACTGAGTTAACCAACATGGGACATGGTATAGAAACAAATAAATATTTCTGATTATGAATTTATTAACGCATATCAAGTAGTTAAAGTAGTAAAAAAATAATTAACTTTATTCATCATGATCAACGCGTTTTTTCTTCTTTTTCTTTCGAAATAAATCATCTCCTTCGACTTGAACATTATTAGTTTCACTAAGTTGATGTTCTCGATCTTTCGATTTCTTTTTCTTCATTTTAAGAAGTGGTTGACCATCTGATACAGATTGCTCTTCTGGTTTTACTGCATTATCGTCATTTAATTTACGTTTTTTCTTCTTTTTCAATCGACTTTCATTCCAATTTTCCAGCGTGTTTTCAGCATCATCTGACAAAAGTTTATTTTCACTAAAATCATTATTTTCATTTAAAGATGTCTCTTCATAACTAAATTGTTGTTCTAGATTTTCATTATTCTTTTTCTTCTTTTTCTTTTTAGTCACAATGTCTTGTGTCGTTGTGTCTCCTGCTATTTCTTGAAGTTCATTCTCTTGACTATTCTTTTTCTTCTTTTTCCCTATTTTATTTAACAGATCATCGTCTCCAAATGTCGCGTTATTTTGACCACTATCCGTGGATTCAGATTTCTGCCCTTTTTCCAAATCTTTTTCGTCCCTATCTAATACAGCTAAAAAGAAACCAATGGTCAAATCCGAATCAGGTCTAGCATATAAACATCTATTTCCCATGCTACCATACATTCCAGATCCAATATTGTTCCAATTGCCTTTTAGGAGTTCTTTAACATCCTGAACCCGCCACTTGGCTCGTGAAGTTTTAACCACATTGGTGATAACTCTCTCGTTCTCTTCAGGAAACAATGAACAAGTGCTGTAAACTATTCTTTTAGCTTTTGGGAACGCATTCATAGCATGCTTTAGAAACTTTTCTTGTAATGACGTCAATTTAGACAATCTGGTGGCATCGATATAACTGTGAACGCAAAGTTCCATGCCTGAAATAAAATGAACAAATTAAAAAAAACTGGAAAAACTTATCGTTGCGAAATTTTACGACACTTTTTACACAGTGCCTTTCATTTAAGATTATAATTCAAGTAAGAAATATATATTCAAGTAAGAAATACAATATTGGTATCATACTACAGAATTGTGTAAGGCAATGTAAAGTACAAATTAGTATACTAGTATGTAAAGTGTTATTTTTGTACTAACACAGAGCTATACGACCAGGATTACAGTAATATTATTTTCTTTAGATGTGTAAGAAAAATCAGTAAAAGAAAACATATTTTAGAAATATTTACCAGAGCCAGAACAGCTTGGATCCAGCAGGATATATTCTACATCATCTAGATCCCCTCGTTTTATTTCCAACGAATCTTTGTGCAATGTTTCGACACATGTCGAGGCGGTTTTCTCAACAAAGTCACATAACGTCTTATATCTTTTCTCATTTCTTTCGACTGCATAAATTTTACCCTGAAATATAAACATATCGTTAATTTTATAATGTATTCTGATTTTATCATAATTCTCAGATTTTGCTCATAAATTGTACTAATAAGTTTATTTATTTTGGCGTCTTAATGTGTCGTTATAACATACAAGTAGAATACATGTTGCATTTGAGATGGGAAAATAAATACCGTAATTTTTTATTCTGGTCACATGAACAGACAAACAAAAATTTGTTTTCCTTCTAATCAAATGCGGTTATCCGTAGCTGGCCTAAAGGCCAAGCTATAATCAGCTCACTACTACTACAATCACCGGACGAAAGAGTGAATGCAGAGGGCATTGCAAACTAGCATAAAGGGGTTGGATCTGACAGGTCACGTGATAAAAATCATAGATAAACAAAGCAGTCTAACCTCATTCCTCATATAAGCGGCAAGCTGCGTGGTCTTCATGCCGGGTGCGGCACACATGTCCAGTACCACGCTCCCATTTGGCGGTGCCAACAAATGGACCGCGAGCGTTGTAGCCTATAAACAATATGAAACATTTGATTTTAATGCTGAAAATATATATATAAATTTTTGAATTGGTTATCTATATAATATACTAATGTGACTGTTATCATTACACTACCCTACTTTGAACCAACCTTATCTTGAAGAATAATTTTATTTTCCAAATATAGATCATGCTCATGCAACTTGGTGCCTGATGAAAATACAAATACTGTCTTCACATGGTAGTCTTGAGTGAAGTTGTATTCGGTCAGGCTCTGTATCTGCTTGAGGTAATCATCATAGGAACCGGATGTGCATCTGATGTATCGGTAACCATCGTCTTGAAACGCTCGGATTGCATCCGAGGTTGTTAATAAGTTTGTATTGATACGTACATATCTTGGCCTGCGGACAACTATTTTTTTTATTTAATTCCAGATGACATGAAAACGTAATCAGCAGATAACATATTAGGTGGATGAACAAATTGTTAGATAACTTTGGTCACTAATTGGTTGTGGATTACTTTAATAATAACTGAAGAGTACATACAAATATATGTGAATGAGGGGAATGAGATTGGTGGTAATCCCAAATAGAACTTGGTATATTTGTAGTAAAGGGGTCATTGATTGTAATGTCCAGACCAGGTCCACCTCCATGGTACCCTATGCAGACCATTGTGATTAATTCAATAATAATCCTTAATAAAAACTATATGTGAATATTATATATGTATTCATAAAAAGGTATTTTAGTCGCCAATCTTACCTGACCAAAATAGTGTTAAACAAATAAGATGAGTCAGGTACAGATGTTTTTTGTGCATCTGAGGCTGCCAAAGGATCATTTCACAGAGACAACATAGTAAAAAATTGCTTGCTTGGGTATCTCATTCTCACCAATTTCAATTGTCAAACATCTTAATTTGTAAGCAATTTGTACAAATGATGAGATAAATCAAACCTACATTCACAGTGTAAATATATTGTATTCTGGTACACAGATAGAACTAGAAATAAAACAATACAAATTTCAAATTTTGATTTTATTTCTCTATCTATAACTTACACAGAAGGTTTATATAATTCTAAAGAATTAAGTAATTTCAAAATTAGTCCCAAAAATGGAATGATAAACAAAGAGTTAGTCTTGTTTTAAATTTAGACTGCTTTTTTCTTTTTCTGATGTAGGGAGTGGTGTATAAGAATGTTGGTCGATCTCATTCCCATGTTCATCATACTCTTTTTCATGATAAGCTTTATATGCATACACACAAATTATTAAATTAACAACAGCAACTGCAGCCACAACCGACCAAACAGTCACTATATATGCGTTAACTGGATAATATTCACTTAAAATTTGTCGAACACCAAAAAATGCTGCAAAAGGCAATGTAAACATAGCAACACTGTAGAGAAACAGGTTCGCTAATACAAATACCGCCCGCTGCGTATGCTGAGGTATCAATGGACCCTCATTATTTTCAGCCATTATGGATGATTAAATGTGTAGAATTTATATCTGAAAAAGAAATAACATAATTACCTTCAGTCTTCAAGTCATCTTGGTGATCAGTAGCATATTTTTCAAATTGATCTTTGTAAGATAATATTGTTTGCTCAGGTTTGCTTTTTCCTGGGAGTGCCTTTTTGCCGAATAATAATTCTGCAGTGAGAACTTTCGCCAACCACGGATCTAAACGAGATTCTTTTTCTAGTATGCTACAGCTATTAAATATTTTATCTATGTCGGCTGCATGTTTTATACTTTCTGTTATTAGAGCATAGAGCACGTTGGTCCTCTGTAAATATTACGATTTACTTATACAAAGAAGGCCGCAAAGAAAAATTACACGCAGCAGTAAAAGTATAGTAAAATTGCAACGCATAATTTCCAGGGCATGAAAAACTACTTACAAAATGACGGAGTTTATCGTCGTACAATAAGGTTTTCACGCTGCCGCCTTCAGTAGATACCTTTTTAAAAATATTAGCTGCAACTTTGTAATGTCTGGGTACTTTTACTGAGTGTTCAAACATTATATATATAATATTTCATTTCTCTTTTACATACATATAATTAGAAAAATAATTGAATATGTTTCAAAAAGATTTCAGTCAGAAATATACAAATTAAATCACGAGACAAAATGACACAGACAAAGTAATTCGATTGTCTAATCTGTATTGAGCCTAGGAATAAGGAATCAATGTCTTTGTCAATGTATTGAATATTTTATGTCACATAGAAATATTACGTGATTGGAAGACAAATGCGATACACAGCATAGAAAGGGAATTTAATCCTTTCTGATAAACCTTGAAGTTCATTCTTTACTGTTAGTTCTATTTTTCAAGTTACGGCAAGAAATTCTATTATGAAACTGAAGACCAAAACATTCTATCTCTTCCATATGTTTTTTCAAATGTTCAAAAAATATTACAAAATTTTATATTTTAAGCATGAGAATTAATTGTATATACATATATACGATTAACTGAATTTATTTTATCAGAAACATATTAGTAAAAAAATATATACCTATACCTACATTTAGTACAATTAAAAATAAAAAATATAATGCATGATGCATTGATTATAATGTGGACTTAGTTAATAAATAATAATTAATAAGATTTAAGTACATTTAAGAGTTCAGTCCTAAACAATTGTTAAATTTAAAACTAAATAAATACAGTTATTTATATTTTCTAATTTATTAATTTAAAAATTGATATATTTTCTTAACAATGTTTGTTAAGCACAACAATCGGTACAATTGAAATAATAAATCACAGAGCCCTAGAGATGGTCAAACACAGAGTACGTTCCTGTACTAAAAAACTAGTTTGTGATCTGTGCTGGAAAACCAACTCAAAAGATATCGATATTCCCCAAATTTTTCAAAAATATATAAATTCATCTTATCTAATTTCATATTATATTAAATTCTTGTAATATTTGTATTTAAACTTTCTGTATTTCAACAAATTATGTAAAACATACAAGAAGATACGAGGACATACCAATGTGTTTCGATTGTGTTGTTTGTGTATAACGTTGACAGTTTTCGAATGGCGATTTGTTCCTCGTAAATACCAGGAAATGCTATGATTCAACATTGCGGCGTTTTCAATTACAGCGTATTGTGATTGGCGTACATTGTTTTCAGTTTGATATTGAGGCTTTGTCGTTAATTCAGTATGAACTTGGGTTATCAGTGAAAGGTCATCTTGAAATGTTTTGAGGGTACATTCAAGTGATCCGAGACAGTAAACCGAAAAGATGGTGCCTGCACCTAGCTGCCCGTCCACATGGGACTACTGGACAACATCGCCGTCCGACTTTGTGGAGCTCACATGCCTCCTGCCGAATAGTATTTACATTCCTCTGAGAGTGAGCTGGGATGCCACCCTTCAGGATGTCAAAGAGGTTAGTGATCTAGCCCATCAGATAGTATGAGTCATGCACGTCGGCGACGCATTGTTACCATGGCTTCTGCTAAGTAGGTCAAATTGTCTAGTGAGTTTGCAAGTAGAGATTCAAATTTTAGAAAGTAGGCATTATGTTGTACATTTTTGAAACCAATATATTGTATTAGTGTTCAATGTATCTATGACCTTAGACTAAAAAAATGGACTGTTCTATTACTGTTTGAAGAACATAAATTATCTATCATATGTTAGTTAAAAAAGATATAAGTAGTTGTATAATTTTAAAAATAATTATTACTTATGTCAAAATAAATTATTACTATTTTCATACAATAGGAGTTGTGGGAGAAAGCAGCACATTATCCTCTTTTTGGGGTCTTGCATGAGATGTCAGGATATGTTTTCCAATTTGTCAACTCACTGGCTGTTCTTGAGGAAGTGGATGATGAGAACAAGAGGCTTCGAGACATTAAACCCGTTTGTGGAGTGCTTGTGATAATAAAGAGGTCTGTGAAACCAGGAGAAAATTTGCTGAACACACAAATAAGCAATTTGATTGGAAAAGGTAGTTTTATTATAATTGCTTAAAGATTAAGTTTTAGTTAATTAGTTTTTTAATTATGTGGCTAAACAACAGCAGATTTTATAAAAATGAAGAGGACTTGTTTTGTGCAGAAATGAAGAGGAGCTGTTGTGCTTTCAAATTCCTTACCATATTTTGAAAAGATGCATTTTTCAACCCTTTTTTTAATTTTTTCATTCCATTTTTTCAGTACATCATTATTCGCATATTTGTGGACTTATTTTTATATATTGCTCCAATTATGATTATGGTTTAAATTAAAATTTTATTGGACTATATGTTAATTAAGATTATTGTTATTTTTTAATAGGTTTAAATGAATTCGATAGTCTAAGGAGTATGGAAGTGAATGATTTCCGGACACAAATACGCAATTTAGCTGAAGAGAGTTTTGTTAAACGGATCAAAAGTGATTGGCAAGAAAAACTGAGTTATCAGTGTCCGCCAAGATTGGCAGATCCGGAGTTACCTAAAACACTAAAGAGTCAACTGAATAGGAATAGTTTCATGCTTGTCACGAAATTTGCAAATTCAGAGGTGAGTACTGTATTATCTATTAATTTTTAATGGTTAAATAAAAACATATTTCCTATTATTGTTCTTTATTAATTATAAAATAGCTAGTTTAATTATTTATATTAATTCACTGCCTTTGTGTACTGTTTACAAGGACAATTGGACATATTAATATATATTTATTATATATTTATAATATGCCTACTATCTTGACTTTAGAAATAACATTGCTTCTGCGAGAAATATTATTATAGAAAATTGCGAACTATATTTTATTTAATTTTACAATTATTGAACAAGTTTATTTAAAACAGTATTTTGTAATTTTTTAATATTAAGGCAATATGTAGTTTGAAAGTGGTTAATTCATGTTAAAAGTAAAATATATTTTAATAAACAATATTGATTAAAAGATATGGCTCTAATAGTGAGAGAACTAATATAAACAATGTGCCATAGGACAGTAAATTAGACCATATATTTTAGAGATTATCTTTTATACTTTTTATGTGGCATTATTAAATTTTATCTTATTTACTTAAGGATTTATGAAATTCAATCATCAATCAGCATTAGACTCTTGTTCATTGATCTCTTCATCAATCTCTTCTTCATCTTTGTCTCCTTCTTCTAGCCATTGCATCATCAAGTCTTTAGCTTCGGCTCTAAAAGAACGAATTTATTAATGAGGTTTTAGTTTAAAAACTAAGTTATTATTAACTAATTATTAATAATAAGTTGGAATATGTTTCAAATATTATATACTAGCTTTTGCCTTCTCTCGCATTGAATCCATTAAATAAAAAATATTTGTATTTAAATAAGAAGTGTCCTATATTCATTCTAATACCTCCAAGAACATGTGTACAAAATTTCAGGATGGTTCAGTAGTTTTTCTGTGAAAGCGTAAGAAACATCCCTACTTTCACATTTATAATTTTAGTAAGGATAGTATCATTTTTATTATAGATGTTGCTTTAAAAACTTTTCCTAACATCTAAGTAGGAATGAATATTTTCTTTATTTTCACAGGAGTCTTACTATATAATAACTTATAATAATGAAACAAAAATAGCTTGTGTTGATAATAAGTTTGCATTTGTCAGTATGTCTAATTAGTCTTAATATTTCAATTCTCTATTATGAAATTACGAACTGAAGATGCAGATCTATCTGCTAAGTATAAAACCTCTATTAGTTTTTTTTTTGCCATTATTATGATCAGTTTACAAATTATTGATTCTATATACAAACTTTCCTCCCCTGTTTCACCCTCTTATAGATTATTATTATTACAGAATGCTAATATGTTTACATGCATTGTTATTTCCAGAAGAGTAATATTTTTAATACTGAACAATTAGAATAGTACTTTAATTGCGGTTTACACAATTACTATACACAGTTGTTGTTGTTATTGAATGTTAATGTGACGTCATTACAATGAATAGGCAAAACCTTATTCGAGATTTTGCCATGTTGATATGACTTGTTTTTCGTATAGCCACAATAATAGTAGGTAAATATTTGTGTAGTTTGTTACGATAATTTTATAGGCATGGAACTTACTATTGTCCTTAAATAATTTTCTATTTTACATAGAACAATTGAATACAACATACTATATATATTACAATGTACCTACTTATCACATACTTGTAACATATGTAATATGGTTTAGACTTTAGAACAATAGTGGCAAAATATCCTATTATCTTATTTAGTTTACACTCCATATTAAAAAAAAAAAGACTTCCTAGCAGATAATTTACATGGTAGACAGTGAGTGAGTGATACATTGCGTGTGGTATTTTAATTTTTTTGTTTCGCACATTTAGTCATTTCTGACATGCAACAGACAATTGTCAATTGAAATATCGTTATTAAAATTTCCTTTATTCGTCTTATGCATGACTGCCGTTTTCAAAGACTCTTGACTCATCCCCACTAATAACACACAAGTTATCCAATCATGATGGGGGTAGTCTCAGTCTCCTAGAGTGTGTACATGCTTTATTTTTGCATTGTATGTTTCAGTGTTTCATCCGACATCCTTTCCTCATATACGCTAAGCCGCTTAATTTGTAAGCGATGTTTCTATTTTAGGTATGAGATATGGCAGTAAAATTACAGAGTACAAAGGTACCTAATGCCTCCAATATGACTGCGTGGGATATACCACGAGTGACATATGATGGAAAAATTAAAGAAATGGGTTAAAACATTTAAAGATCCTATAAAAAAATCTTGAAAAAATAACATATTCTCGTTTGTTGTTGCAGTTAGGTGTCTTAATTGTTTCATGTTGTAGTTGAATTGATTCAATAATAATTCTGCATGCGATGTCGCGACAGGCGGCTAGTTTATTAATTAGTAGGATAACATTGTGTTTATTGGTTTTGTAGTAATTTGTAGTATTCTATTATAAGTTCACATGTTTCATAATTCGTTTTGTCGTTGCATGTTTGTCCCTAATCAGTTTATGTGTTGGAAACTCCCGCGTGTTGCATCCTTTACTTGTTTTTCTAATATCATTGCCATGATTCACTATTTGCATTATTAATATACTTTAAGATTATATCCTACATAACATATTGTCATGTACTATATACCGTCATTTATAAATGCTATCAATCGATTACAAAAAGAATTATCAAAATCAGTTTATCAGTTCAACAGTGAATATATCATGTCATTTCAAAGCGTACGATTATAAATCTTCTAATTAAAATCTGCAGAAAGTAAACAGTCTTGGTACACTAAAAAATGCTGTTGATGTGCGTAAGGCTGTCGTTTAAAGTTCACTAAATTAAGAAGTCTGTGCTGTGGGGTGACTATAACATTGCCTATTTACCTCTCCTCTGGTGTAACTACGCCTTTGTTAATCCTTTTGAGCCTGGGTAACGCAGCGAGTACTTCAATTCTCACTTCTGTGTCTTCTTCCTCGTTTCCTAAGTCTGCATTTTCTTCCCCGCTACCTCCCATGTAAGGACAACCTTTCATCACCAGTGTGTCCAAAGCTGTTAACACCTGAAATCATTTCCACATGTGCTCGAGTCCTCGTCTATTAGTCGACACCAAACAACCAATATTTAAATGGTAGCCAATGTATTTTTCATATGTATAGTCAGAGTTTACTATATCGACTTTTTCTTGATCTTGGCGAAATTCTTGGCGAATCTTAAAAATTGGAAATTTTATATTTCGTAAATTTTTTTAACGATCTGTATGAAGAAAGCGGTAACCACTTTATTTTGTAAAAAAAATATTTAGCGTAAAGTTTAGCTTACACAGCTTTTATTCAAATAGATCGGTAATTATTTACAATATCCTTAGACGATTGACACTACCAATGCATTTATAAATGGTATATGATACAGAAAAATAAAGTTGCTAACATACTAGCTGAATACATTACTAAAATTACGGTATATTATGTGCTGAACTAAATAACAATTGTACCTGTTCTACCTACCTTCAACTTCTTAACCTGTTTCAATGATGCAATCTTACAATTTCTCAGATTTATGTATTGCAATTTTGCTAGGCATGCATCAAAACCATTCAGTGACTTAATAGGATTGTATCTAATATGTAATATTCTCAAATTAACTAATCGTTCTATACCAACCAAACTAGTTATTTTATTGCCAGCCAAATATAGACTGTCTAATTTAGGAAAATCTAAATTAGATATGTCTTCAATTGTATTGTACCGAAAATCAAGGCATTTTATATTAGGCATACGATTGTCAAAGGATACTCTTTCTATCTTATTATATCCGACCTCTAATGTGGATAATTCTGGCTGGTAGATGTCGTGAACTGAAGTTATTAAGTTGTAGTTCATAATTATCACTTGGAGATATTTCATCTTCTTCAGTGCAGCCGAGTGTAGGATATTTTTGTCAGCGTGTATCAGTACTAGGAATTGTAAATCGGTAAGTACTTGTAGGGCATCCAGATCCAAATGGTTATCAGAAACATCGACGAATTGCAAGTGTTTGTAATATTTTAATCCCGATATGTCTGTCAAACTCATTCCCGTACATTTTGCTTTTAAATAAGTGTAACTGTAACAATGTATTATGTCAATATATAATGACAGAGACTTAATTTAGAGATACTTTGCTAACTAATAATTTTTGTAACAACTTTACATGATCACGTATAATTGATCCATAATACAGATATTTGTATATTTCATATTACAATTAAAAATACTAGCAATTTCAGAGTATAATATTGAAATATTATTTATTATATCAGGCCTTAAATAATAATGTTGAAATCCAACACCATTGGTTATGTTCGGGTAATGTAGTACATACAATTTATATGTAACTAGGTCTATGTAGATAAATAGATAAATAAGGACTTACCCATCTCCCTCAGCAGTCTTGCCCAGCAGACTAAGTCTTCCACAAACTTCGAACCGGTTCAATTTTCTTACTGGATGTACAACTTTTTCTTCCTCAGCCGCTTCGCTCGCTTGCTCTTCTTCCACGGTCTCTTCTTGCTCTCCCGAATCATCGGGCCGAAGATTGAAATGTGACTTCAACATTCTTTACTAATTATTCCGTACTTCAAACTAAAACTTCTTTGTCTTTCGTAGATTAATACACGTTCAGAATAAGATTTGAGGGCCTTAATTATTTGCTCAACAGTCAAGATTAATCATTTGTGTCAATAGAAATTCAGTGTTTGTTTATTGTCAAAATGGCGTTAGGATTTTTGTATAGGCATTTATAATCATTAATCAATAAGGAGGTTCTTAATTCGACTTTACTTTTATATTACATCTTATACTATGGTCTACGTCAATTCTCATTTAATAATGAAGAATCATATTGCAATTATGAAAGTTTACACTTTAATTTATACTTTGTTTAATATAAAATTTATATATACATAAAAATACGTTTAGTAAAAGACTCATAAAAAACAACCCTAGTGTTTCAGGCGCTCATTGGCTACGGTAACTGTTTACCATCAGATGGGCCGTACGCTTGTTTGCTACCATCGTAGTATAAAAAAGTAACTTTATAGTTTTTATAAAATACTGTATTTTTTTTCAGTTTTCATTTTCACTATGCGTGCCTTTCAACCAAACACCGCAGCAGCACATCGAAATCATACTGAGAAAGCAAGCGAAATCTCTCAACATCCGCGGAGAGCATCCACACAATTACGTATTAAAAGTTTGCGGCCGCGAGGAGTACCTGTTTGGAGATTACCCTCTCATACGGTTTAAATACGTACAAGAGATGTTGTTACGTGAATCCGTGCCTCAAGTCATGACCGTCAGCGTGGACAAGTTGAGATTTTTCAGTAAGTGTGATTTGAAACTATTTTTAGGAAGCGGTCTTATCTTATGAATGCAAATGTTTGTACCGTGCGAGGAATCGAACACGCAATCATCGGTAGTAAAGCGGTGTGCTAAACCCCTAAACCACCGAGGCCGTCAAATGTCAAAAAACAAATCAAATTTATTTGTTTTAAACACACATTATGTTTTGCCTCTTTAGACATGCAAAGTTGAAACTATTTAAAAATTATTTAATTATTCAAAACATTTGTCGTCAGAGTAATTTTAAATTAAATGAAATTTGCATTAAATACATAATTATCGAGGTAATAACAGATAAATGTGATTTTTAACAGATGCCAATCCCGACCAGTACTACATAAGAGAACACAGACGACAGACTGCTGATTCGAACACAATGAAGAGACGGAAGAATGAACTCTCATGGGACATAGATAAGCTTTACTCTTGTACGGTACTGAGTGTTGGAGGGTTGAATGTGGACCCTAATCGTGTTGTTGAGGTAAGTATCTTATTGTGAACTGAAGAAACTAAATAGAAACCTGTTTTTATTATTTTCAAGTACCTCACTTGTTGACCTTAGATCGTTTACAATATTTGCTGTATGTATAGGAACAGTTGTAAAGGGTAAAATGTATATCAACATATAATATTATTAGTATAATGTGTGCATACAAAGTACCAGGGATAGTATTAATGATATTCAAACCGTTTCTTCAGCAAGTAAAGCTAGTGGTATTTTCTCTGTATAAATAACTAGCTACTCACCCTAGCTTTGCACGGGAGTTCATGTATTATACATATAAATCTCTCTATCTATTAAAAAAAGCGCTTGAAAAATCTGTTGCGTATTTTTAAAGATTTAAGCATACATAGAAACGGACAGACAGCGATAGAGACTTTGTTTTATACTATGTAATGATAATATTAATTAAATCTAAAACCGTCATACATGTTGGGCACCTTACCTGTTTTTTAGTATTTATTGTATAATCGAAGAAAGTATTTATCTTTTAAGTTTAGTTTTTTGTTTTCATATCACTTAAAGAAATCTCTTATAAAATTATATAAGATTTATTATTTATTTAAGGGCCGTCTTTTGTTAAGCATTTTTATGCAAAGTATTCGTACTTATTTTTCAGTGCGTCATAACGACATTTATTATTACTAGGGGTCGCTTAGTGGTCGAAATTCGACCATAATTAATTTTACTTATAAGTTTGAACATTATTAAAGTTATTTTATCAAAGACTATACTTCTATAATCACAAGCACTGGCAGTCGCACAGGCAATAAACAAATTATATGTGTATGCGTGTGTATGTCAAATATATTATTAAAAAAATATAAGCACTCACATATAGAAAAAGGTATATATTATAGTGTTTCTTAAGGGTCGGCAACGCGCACGTGACACCACTGGTGTTTCAGGCGTCCATAGGCTACGGTAACCATTTACCATCAGATGGGGCGTATGCCTGTTTGCCACCATAGTAGTATAAAAAAATGTAAATTTTCTTCCTCCTCCGTCCGCGCCATTTTCGTAAAAAGGGCTACAAAGTTTTTGCTTCACATATTAATATATGTATTATTTCATTAGGTCATTTGTCAAGCGGGTGTATTTCACGGTGGTAAACCTCTATGCGAGGCGCAGAAGACCCGAGCGTCTCCGGTGTCCTCCGAGGGAGTCGCGAAGTGGCAACAAGAGCTCAAATTCCCACTCAAAGTGTACAACATACCGAGAATGGCTAGACTGTGCTTCGGCATATATGAAATTGAAATTAACAAAACTAAGAATAAGAAGAAAGGAAAAGATGCAGGCAAGGTGGGTATATGTCATCGAGAGTTCATACTGTATCTTATAGTATAATTACATATGTTGTCTTGTAAATTCCTTTTCGCCCCATTTATTACACTAAATATTTCAGGACTCGATAAATCGATTGGCGTGGGCAAACACAATGATATTTGACTACAAAGATCAGCTGAGGACAGACAAAGTGACATTCTTCATGTCCACGCACGTGGCGGATGAGACGCAGGGCGACGATCAGCTGCTGCATCCCCTAGGGACGGTTTTCTCCAATTCGAATACAGACTCATCGAGCGCAGTACTACAAGTGCAGTTCTCAAAGTATGTTATAGTTATAATAACACTTTGCTTAGCGTGTTTAAGGGCCATTAACCACATGATAGTGTCCTCTCCCCCTCAAATTCACGTATATTTTTTTAGTACCTAAAAAGAATAAGATTATTAAAATATTACTAGCTGTTCCGACAAACGTTGTTTTGCCATATAAATTAATATTCCAATAAATAACAAGGGATGATGGTAAAAGGGTGATGATGAAGTTGTATGTATTTTTCAATGCTAAATCCCCTCCATTTCCTTTTTTTTTTTTGTATGTGATAATGGAATGGTGCATCCGCCTGCGCTAACGGTTTACGCTGGCGGGGCACCAGTGGAGGGTGATAATATGAGCATGAGGTCAGGTCAGCTAGCCCATCGTGACAAATTCATCAGGAATTTAACACGATGGTTTCCAGGGGGAACCGCGTGGAGGTCAACCTGATATGGTACATTGCTAGTAATGGGTTCATTAGTCCACATTACTAACAATCCCATTTCCCCCCTCCATTTCCTTTTAAGCGTTACGTTATTCACGGGTATTCACTTTTTTAATAGATGATAATGAATGGAAGGGAATGCACCATTATATTCATTTGCTGAGTTTTCAATGTCATTTATTTTATATTTAAGTTGAACTATGTGTTTGGTATTATTTTAATTAGATATTGTAATTTTTAGCTACGACTGCCAATATCCGATTGTATTTCCAAAACTAGAAACAGTGAAAGCGTATGCGGAGCATATTGAGAATGGTTCTCCAGAAGTAATGTCGCGGCTTAAGAGAGATTTTGAGAAACTTCGAGCAACTGCCGAAAAAGATCCAATGTATGAAATGCACGAGCAGGACAAGAAGAATATATGGGCATTAAGGTCAGTACTAAGACATGCATTAGTAAATTAATGTAATATTCGTATATTTTCGACTTTAGCATGGCAGACATGCCTTTCCTTTATCTCTCTCGTTTGATATGCGCAGTAAGTTATCCTTTTCATTGATATCTATCAGCCGTTATATGTTCATGTTAATTGTATGTCTATTGGTATATTGTGAATTATTATTAAAATTAGAAATAATATTTGCAAACTGCAATTGAAACTGCAGTTGGGCAGGTGTAACAATTACATATAAAGTTAGCTAAAAATAAAACTAAGATATACACAATATTTACACTCAACCTAACTTAAGAACTAATGCCATATTTGTAGATTTTTTTTTAAATCTTCAAGTATGGCACTTATGCTGCACCTTAAGCTACTTGGTTCCCTGGTATAGATATGTTTTGCGCACAGGAATGACTTCCGATCCCTGGCGCCGTGGTTGCTGCCGCGGCTGCTGTGCTGCGTGGAGTGGGGCGAGCGCGCGGAGGCGGCGACCGTGGCCCGGCTGCTGGACGACTGGCCCATTTCTCTGCCGGTTGAGTCCGCGCTCGAGTTACTCGACTACGCATACGCGGACGCCACCGTGAGGAGCTTCGCTGTTAAATGTCTGCAAAAGATCAGGTAATATTTATTTTTAATGGATGATAATGGTATGGTTCAGTTTACGCTGGTGCCCCACCAGTGGAGGATAATAGGATTAGCATGAGATCAGGTCAATTAGCCCATCTTGGTAACCTGACATGGTATATTGCTAGCAATGAGGTTCTTAGTTCACATAACTAACAATCCCCTTCTCCCCGATGTCACATATTTTACAATTCACTAGTAAACTATAAGTAGATGAACTGAAAAATCACATTAATTTTTTTTATTAATAATGCAAATAACATTATACTTACATGTATTAGATTTTGAAACGTCATTAATTTATAACTATTTTTATTTGTCATTAAACTTTATTTATCCGAAACAATATAAATTGTTTACGATAACCTACAGTCAAAACATAATAGTAACTTAAAAAGTATTTTTGTGTCAGCATGCTTTATGCAATAGGTCTTTAAGTCGTTGTTGTACTAATAATTTTATCTCGACTTCTAAAGACTTGACCACTCACTCAGATAGTATACTATGTATTTGTCCATAATAGGTCTGTCTAGGTACAGGCTAGGCCACAGATAATAATGTGTTTATTAATATATTACAATCATTTCCAGTGATGAAGACCTCTTGTTATATCTGCTGCAACTGGTCCAGGCGTTGAAACACGAGCCCTACCTCATGTGCGATCTGTCTGTGTTCTTGTTAAAACGCGCGTTTAAGAATATGATCATTGGACATTATCTCTTTTGGCATTTAAGGTCAGTTTTAATTATCATTTGTATGGATCATTATTTAAACATCATCCAGAACAAATGTTAAAAAAGGTTATGTTAACAATAGTAATTAAAATTTTAGTAGTATTAATTGGAAATTAAAAAAATAAAAGAGAAGTCGTAGAAAATGTCGAGATTGAAGATGAAAGTTTAAAAGTACACACCCGAAAAATACATCAGTATTTTCTCTTTATAATTAATTATTTTAAATAATCCTGAACGATTCCCGCAGCGCCATCTCTATTAGTCCCAAATTGAATATATCTTGTACTATCGTTAATAAACAACTGACGATTATTTAAAAAAAAACCATCCATTAGCTACTAGCACTACATGCATGTATTATACATATAAACCTTCGTTTTGAATCACTCCCATTTATTGCTGATAATTGCGTTAAAATCCGTTGCGTAATTTAAACAATATAAGTAAACACTATGTAAAGATAAATGTTCAAAACTGCGGATTTTAATTTGCAAATTACTAATGTTCAGGTCGGAGATGCATATGCCGTCGGTGTCGGTGCGATTTGGTCTACTGCTGGAGGCGTATTGTCGGGGTTGCCAAGATCACATTAATATCTTACTTCGCCAGATCGCCTGTCTAGACAAACTTAAATGTACGTACACTGCATGATACTGATATGATATACTGTTTGTGCTCATATAATAAATTGATTGTCTTTTGACTAATATAGATACTTTCTGAATAAACACACTGTTAAGTAACAAATACTATAGTAGAATGGTTACCGAAGTTAAGAAAAATATATAGATGTGACCAAATTAATGAAATTATATTAAAAAAAGTTCTTATATTACGTTTAATGTTACTTATCATTAAAAAATATGCTTATAGCATACAATTGAATAAATTTAGGATATGGCTTTAAATTTCAGTATTTCCACAACTAGTTGTGTAAGACTTTTTAATTGGTTACTAACAACTGTACACTAACATTTCATAAGGGTCGTAATCATAACTTCATAAGGGTATTTGTTTTACTATGGAAAGTTGAGGATTTTTATTTTATATGGACAGTTTATATGCTTACTTATTTGATATATTTTACGCTAGGGGTAAGCCAGAATGTCCGTAAGAAGAAAGAAATATCAAAGGCGAGAGCGGCGTTACAGCAGAATTTGCAGCAACAACATTGCATTGAGACACTTTCGGAGTTTGTGTCTCCACTCAACCCGAGCTACATCTGCAAACGGATACAGTGAGTAAAGTAGCGCATATATCTTGTCTTGTTACTATAAGACGATAATAATTTAGTAAAGTCCGTTTTTATCCGCTAGATATTTTAGATTTCAATAAAAATTATGGATTCTATTTGCCTTACATTGATTCTGTAAAGAGAAGCATTTAAGACATATACTATCTGAGATCCAAATATATGTGAGTTATTGATTTAAACCGGATTCTTTGATTGCCAATAAACCACTATTCTACAGAAATCAGTGAACTACAATGACTAGAGTTTAATAGTTGTGTATCTTCAAAAATTAAAGTAAAATATGTATTAAAGTATATTAAAATGATGTATAAAAGCAAATTAAATTAATGCATACTGGTAATATTCAGCAGCGAAGCCAAGCTTACCGTAGCGTATGTTCTTTCGTCCACACGCTACAGTTTGCCTACTGCCATGTTGGATTTATTTATACCCATCGAAATAAATAACAAATATTTATTCTTTGTAAACAGGCCGGAGAAGTGCCGCGTTATGGACAGCAAGATGCGCCCTCTCATGGTTGACTTCGAAAACGTGGACCCCTTCGGTTCTGACATACGGATCATATTGAAGATCGGTGACGACCTCCGCCAAGATATGTTCACGTTGCAAATGCTCAGGATTATGGACAGACTGTGGAAGAGTCATGGCTATGATTTTAGGCAAGTGTCTGCAATAAACATGTAACAAATATGTTAAGTTGAAATTTAAATTATCTCATAATTTGGTCGATTGTGCCCCCGTTGTTTTTGCAGAAGGAAAGCAAATAAATAGTTAGTAAACTTTTCAGCTACTTTTGCAAATCTCGTTCTGTTTGAGAAGGACACCATTTAGCAGTAATAAAATTAAGATTCCTGATTACAGGGCAGCATATAATAAGAGATTTATAAAATTTATTTTTTCTTTGTATTATATTGTCAGTATGCTTTGCACATTGTAAACCAATGTTGACTATGGTTTTTCCATTAATTAATGATCCATTAAGAAAATTATTATACGGCTACATTTTGCTTCCATAAAATTTGATCAATATTAAAATTTATATACGTATATATTTTTTAAATAACTGTAATATTTAAAAATCATGTACTCATATATTATGTGAGTGTTAAATGTTCTGTTAATAGTTTTATACCTGAGCAAAAGAATCAGAAATTGAAAATATGTAAATTCTAAAAGTTGGAATGATCTTTTATAATTAATATTATTTTTAGATTAAGTCCATACAATTGTATATCAATGGAGAATGAAGTGGGTATGATCGAGGTGGTGGAAGACGCGGAAACAGTTGCCAACATACAGAAACAGCCCGCTATGTTCCCAGCAGCCTCCACAATGTACAAAAGCTCTCTGTTACGTAAGTTTATCTTTTGTACTATCATGAACTTAAAACTATTGTAATGATAATTAATTTTATTCTCTTAAGGACACGTTATTATTGTCTCCCATGTCTCCATAGCTAAATACTATAATTTTACTTCAGATCTCCTCCATATATTGCTATAAGGAATGATGCAAAATAAATCACCATAGTAATTACTATTCTAAAATAATTTCGGATACGATTTTCGAATATGTATGTTTATTAAACGTTTTGTGTTCATAAGAATATAATTTCAATATTTATGAATGCGTATATTTATTAAAAAAAAAATATATTCATAAGAACTAAGGTTTTATTTATTTTTACATATAACAAAAATGTAATTGGTACATACATGTTATGAACAAAATATTTATGGGGTATTTTATCAGGGTAATAGAACCAGAATAAAGAAAACCAGATATTGTTAGAATGTTTGACTTTATTATGGTTTAACCGATTAGTGTGCGGGTTTCACTTACTTTGTGTTACAAATAAACCAATCGGTTTATAAACAAATATGTTATATGAGAACGAAATTTGGACTTGGTTAATTTATTTCTCTATTGATTGATTCACAGCACGTACTTTATGCTTACTTTAATTTGTATTCCATAGAATGGTTGAAGAAACAGACAGAAGACGACTCCGGGCGGCCCAATGAGACGGCGTTCAACAAGGCCGTGGAGGAGTTCACTATGAGCTGCGCCGGATACTGCGTCGCCACGTACGTGCTCGGGATCGCGGATCGACACCCCGACAACATTATGGTCAAGAAGAGCGGACAGGTTGGTCTACTTCAAATATATATTTTATTACTTTTTATTGCATTAAAAATACAAAAGTATATAATAGAATGTATAGACTATGAAGGTATAAAAAGCGATCTTTTCCAGACAACCTTTGGATAGAGGATAATCAATGTCGGTTCTGCCGACAAGAAACAATTTTATGTTTCTTAGATAGCAGTAATATATCACCATATATACACATATTGTAGACATATACATTACACATAATCTATACGTACATTTATTTCCTTCTTCCCAAATATTTTTTGTATTATTTTAATTAATTGATTCTTCCTTGGCAGCTATTCCACATAGACTTCGGACATTTCCTCGGTCACTTCAAACAGAAGTACGGTTTCAAGCGCGAACGCGTGCCGTTTGTTCTCACGCACGATTTCATACACGTGATCAACAAAGGACAACGAGGCTCGGGCGATAACGAACCTATCAATTTCAAGATATTCAAGGAACACTGTGATACGGTTAGTATTTCCTTTTTACGCTAACGGTAACGGTACGATCATATAATCTGACGTTCTACCTGGTGAAATGAGATAACCGTCGCAAATAGAATAGAGGAGAATAGTATATAAAATAGTATATAAAAAAAGAATACAGAATGAAATTGTAAAGCATGGAGCGTTACATTTTAGTCCTGGAATGGTAACGCGTTATTATGTTACATCCCTATTAACATGAGTGTTCATATGGATGTGACATGATAACGTGAAGTCCGTGGTGCTGCTCATGTACATAGGCGACGGTTACCGCTTACCATCAGTCGGGCCGTCAGAATTTTTGCTATTCCAATTAAATTTCAAATAAGTAGCATTGCCCATATAGACTAAGTGAGGTAGTGAGACTCTCTTACTCTGTCGGCTATTGTTCTTCATCTGCCATTTCTCATATATTTCTTCAGCACAGTGAGATGCAAAAGTAGTTAATGGCATCACTCTTTCGACTACGATTTAGTTTAAACATTACTCCTTGCCTTCGGATGGACGTGGGTTCGATTCCTAAAAAATAAAACGTTTTTATAAAAAGTCTTGATATAAATATAAATTAGGGTAGTTCATAAAATAAACTGCAGTAAAATTTAAACATTTATATTACTACAGGCATTTAGAATCCTCCGGAAACACGGCCACCTCATCTTGTCTCTCTTTTCGATGATGATCTCCACCGGACTTCGGGAGTTGAGCTCAGAGAAAGACCTGCAGTACCTTAGAGAGACCCTCGTGAGTAAAGTGTGAATTTTTTCTATGCATAATTACATATAAATTATATGTCTGTATACTTAAAAAGTAGAACATCTCAAATTCACTTCAATTTTAAAGCTACGTAAGACAAGCATTTAATTTCCTTCTGTTTGAAAACTGTATTTAATTTGATCTATTTGCATATTGATAACTAGAGGGCTGTCTAAGTTAGTTACGAGTATGTAATGTAAGTTCTAAAGTACCGATTTATTAACCAGGTAATGGATCTATCCGAAGAGAAAGCCATGGAGCACTTCAGATCAAAGTTCAGCGAAGCGATGAAGAACTCATGGACGACATCTCTCAACTGGGCGTTCCACAATATCGATAAAAACAACTGACAGCGGCCGGTGAGCCGGCGGCTGAAGCGGCAGCCGCCGAAACACGCCCCGCAAACGTTGTAAAACGAACCTTATCGCTTACACCGTTACGTTCATTTCCTAGCACGATTGGGTGAATGAACGACAAGCAGTGATGTTCGACTTCAACAAAATAAGAGGTAAAGTCTGATTAGCTCACTTGTGCTGTCTACAACTGGATTTCGACTTTAGTTGTCGTGCACTGAAGGAGGTATTTGTAAGTGTTCTGTGCATTTCAATTTATAATCGTGCAATATAATATTTATTGTTAGTTCCTAAATACATGAAGGAAAATTAGAGTTATAATATAATTATGTTTAAAATAATAATATGGTATGTACGCGGTGCAAAAATGGAATATAGGTATTTTGAAAGCAGAGTAGAAAATTATAAAAGCTGTATATTTACTTTAAAATACAGGTCTTTTTCATACTGTTTTAATCTTTTATTCTTTCAGTATCATTCATACATTATCGCATTTTCTATTTCATTTTAAACTCTAATATTCCAGATTGATAAAATACAACTGTAGGTTTTAAATAATGTAAAATATATTGTACTTAGTAATTAGTGTTCACTACAGCAATAGCCTTAAGAGCACGACATCATAAAGTTGAAAATTGAATAGTATCGATGTACGCGCTAAGATTAATAATAGAACGAAGAATCCCGCCGCGATAGAGGCTAGTATTGCTTGAATAAGTTATATGAGTGGTCCCGTTCCCTTCAACGTCTCTCTAGTTTTAATTGTTGCACTGCCAGAAAATAAGCTCAACACAGTATATCGCTGCATATACAAAAAGGGTCATTTGAGTTAAGGATAAAACACAACTTAAGCTTTACAAGCCAGCAAAGTACCTATACTACTACGTTGAAGAATATTGCATACAACGTATTTTACGCTCTTTTAAATTTGCCTTATTGAATCATAGTCTGTAAAGATTTATTTTTATTTTGTATATACCGTCTAAAATAGAATTTAAATAAGTGAATTATTTGAGTATTTGAATGTGTATTGCAATATATATTTATTGTAATAACATATAATTTATCAGTATTTATATTAATAGTTGATTTTTGACTTTATATACAACCAATAGGTTTCATGAAAACTTTCTCAATAAAACTGCCATACATATTTTTTTGAGAAAAGATAACTAAGTGTTTGGACTAATATTCTGTACTAACTTTGCTTGTTCTATAGATTATAAAATATATCAACTTGAGCGGGGCGAGGTTGTCAAGACTGATAGTTATGTATGTTGGTAAGGAACAATGCGTTCTTTCGCGGCGGGGTTTAAAGATGTACGCGTTCTGATCTCTATTACGTTTTCTTATGGAATACACGATATAATTTTTAATTTAACATAATTCGCTCATCGCAAAGTAAGAGAATATTAATCTGTTAAAAGAGCGGGACGTATAAATACGTCAAACGTAAACATTAACGTGTACGGGTATGACATATGAATATAAGCTTAAATAAAAAAATAGTTAGCATAAATAAAAAAAAATACGTTCTGTCATGAAAGGGTCCGCGCCCTTTCTATTCTGCGTAATTAAAATGGGAGTTAACAGGTTAAAACCGAAATGGGATCGAAACTTAATTCGGAAAATTGCGGTTGATATTCATGTACATTATCACAGGTTTTTAATCAACATGTTTACAACTAAAATAAGCTCAACACAGTATATCGCTGCATATACAAAGTAGTGCAAAGTAGTAGTGTAAGAATAAAAATACATAAATATCAATAAATTATGACTATACTGTGTGATCTAACCTTTGGAAATACATGTTTTATACAACTTTATTCGGAATTAAATGTTGTTTCCGAGAAAACGTAATATAGATATTAATTTATACATAATGATAGAAATAATACAGGGCCCTTCGTTATGCTACTAGCGATCCGTCGTTATTGTTGTTAAAATTAATTACGGAAATTACGTGGCTAGTATAGCATCCACTTTGATGGTGTGACGTCACGGCATCGTAATGTCACGTGACATGAAATCGTCATTCAAGGGTCCACAGTTGATATACAAGGTGGGCGGCGGCCGATTTGGCTGTGATATAGAAATGTTGCGTATGCGCATATTAGTTGAAGAAATTATAATTTTAATTGTTACGAAATTTATTATTAACATTGTTTCGATTAAATCTTTTTGGTCGTTAATTTTTTTACTGCATAGACGAAATTAAAATATTCTTAAACGATATGATAAATACATGACAAGCTGAATTTATTTTGTTTTTGTAATGAAAATGAAGCGTCTGCAAGGTTAATTTTCAAATTCCATCAATCAGGCAAATGATGGAATTTAAATTTATATTCTATCGTCTATGTTTTGCTTAAAAATGTAAAAAAGTAAGTAGAAAACATTTTCTGTGCATCTTTGAGACAGCGGGTGCCTTACACGTTGTCTTACTCTTTTGAGCAAGTGAATGCTTTTCTTTTGTACTTGTATTAATATAAGTACAACTTTATTATTCAAAGTCAGAGCTGTCAATATTTTAAAATTTCCAGTAGATAATTTCTGCACGTTAGAATGCTCTCTTGTAATGTAATATTAGCACAAGTAATAGAATATATTTGTTTATGTCTATTTCTAAAAATGTTTCGGAGTTTTAGTGAATCTGTGGCGCAGTGAAATAATACTCTTTCGATACTATTTACATTCTTTTTCAGCCTAAATTGAAATTGATATTAAAAAATTAACCACTTTTGTATGCAACAGTTATTCATTAAACATTTGACGCGTTAAGGTTACTTTTTTCAAGATCGATTGATTATTGATTTGTACAAAGAATTTCTAATGTTGCTAATATTACGAAAAAAACTCGGCTATTTATTGCCATAACCGTGGGTATACTGTAAAAATAGAATTCAGTCGTTGCAGATTAAAATCTAATAATGACTTCAAAGCCTTTAGGCCCCAAAGAAAGTGAATGTTTTTTTTATAATGTATATTAAAATGTTAGATTAAGACTTTTGATAGAAGTAAATTTATTTTTGAGCGCGTCATCTATATATTATAGATGGGTTTGTGGTGTGAAGTGATTGTATAGGAAGGGCCGCCGCTCCCATGTTCAGAAATCATGGAACATAACTTAGTTTAATTCCAAAGCGCTATTCTCATAGCTTTCCGTGCTAACTGGCTCAATAAACGGGGTATCTCATACAAGGGCTCATCTGTTATATATATGTCTCTATGTGTTTATACTAGAAATTGGTGAATATTAATTTACACATTAATTTATTTATCCTTTCAACTGTTACCTGTTAAAATGACATTAACGCCCCATCTGAGATCAATTACAGTACTTCTCACAGATGGTGGTTTGGGCCCATGTGTGGAGAATCCAATAATTTTTGAATCTGAGGTTTTAAAAATTATTGGATGGTCCACAGATGAACGGATAATACAATACAAAATTTTCCGGTGACCTAAGAAATTCAATAGGTCTTAGAGCTGTAAGGTCTAAAAGCTATTGAATTTCAGGATACTGAAGGCACGGATATATCTCGCAGCAAACTATGTGAATGGTCACTGACGGTGTTCTGACGCATAGCTTTGTGAATAGCGCTTTATTTTTGTACCCCCTTACTTAACTCATATTAAGAACCACGGTACTCGGTAATAATGGTATATTCACATTGTCTATATCCATGCAAAGAAAATAAGCTTTATACAATATTAGCGACCGAATAGATTTATTTAACGTTTATAAGTAAGGGGGAATTTGAATGATTATGCAATGTATGATTCAGAGGGTGACAATGTAGTTCCACTCATTCAGTTCAGTTGGATAATAGTGCCAGTGTATGTGAATACACCTAAGGTGCATACAGAGGTAGTTAAAGGTACCCTGTAGGAACATAACAAAATAATCACTAAACCCAGTGGCATAAAGGTAGAATTACAGTGTCAGAACCCTTGTGTCGTGTATGAATGAGTTTTATATGAGTTAAGGATAGAATAGTCGAATCATGAGGCGAATAGGCTCAATGCTAGGTTAATTTTAATTGTATAAAGTCGAATGTATTGTTACGTATTTGAGAATGCCTCGAAAAGGATGATATTGTTTTGCTGAAGAAATATAAGAAAAAATGCATTATTGATTGGCTTAACAGATACGGATTCGATTATATCTATCCTTGGATGTACTATTTATTATAGTTTTAGCAGTATTATAACGTCTATTGTCAAAGTGAATATTGTTTAAGTTATTCTTCATGCTACCTCATGGTATCGTGTGAACAATACCAGATTGTTTATCCTTATTTTAATGTATACAGTGTCTGCTTCCTAAATAGTTCTGTACACGTATCGCTAGATGCTGATCGTTTAGAAAAACTTTTGTATGTAACCATCGGTGACGTTCTAGTGAAATATACATACATTGCGTCGATTATTATGAAATATTTGAATGAATATGCCTTATGATATTTTAGCGTTAAGTTGTTGCTACACGACAGTTGTGGGTAGATAGGTAAATTATTACAAACGGGTTTATTGCCGATGCTTCGCAAGGATCGAGTTGTTACCAAGTCGTTGTGAAGCGAACATCGGCGTGCGTTTTGCGCCCGGCTGCGTTATGTTCCGTCGACTTTGGTCGTTTGCTGTCGAGAATAGATAGCTATATATATTATTAATATATATAGCTAGATAGCAATATTCATTTCGTTTATACTTATCCTATGTACAGTCTAGTCAACCATATTGTAATACACAGATAGCAATTTAAAAAACAGTAGGGATTAAAAATAGATACAAATTGTTTTCATATAATTATTAAAGCTATCACATAACATTAGTTAATAATTTGAATTACAGGTTCAATTGTTATGGATATTGTTGAAGCAAGAATTTGATTTTATTTCAAAGTAAGCCCTCGACTTGAAATTAATTAAAACATGTACTAAATATTGATATATCAAGACATGTATGTATGTAAGGTGTACGATTTAAGTATT